ATGGCCAAATGGAGGGGTGGAGCTATGAAAGCAGACCAGAGAGAGGCCTACCCTTGGTCAGTTCCAACACATTTGAACCAGCTGCACTGGTTCTCAGCAGTGCAGTTGGCAAGGACGTCCCACCCACCTTTCATTTTGGCTCAAAGTCCAGGGTACGCGGGGAACAGTGGTGGAGCAAGCTCATCGGGCACCTGGGTGGCATGCATGCCCTGCGCCCAGGGCAGGGCGAGCCGCCCGTGGGGGTGGCGTGAGCTGGGGCAGGATGCTCCACAGGGCCTCCGAGGAGTCTGCCTGCCACCTCCCAATACATCTGTGGCCATCTTGATCCCAATATGTTGTCACATTGTTTTTATTGCTTCCGGCACCCCTGACCTGACGACCATAGGCTCACTGTGCCTGGGATTGCAAATGGAGAGCAACAGCTATGGTCAAATATTTATTTTGCACAGTTGGAGATCTCAAAGGCACCCTACAAACAGAAACCAGCTTAAAAAGGTTCATAGGGGAACAGCCTAGTATAGGAAAAATATGAAGATATCTGGGATGCATGTGCCATTTGGCCACTAAATGTTAGAATAAGGCAGGACAGGAACACGCTACACAATAAGGTCAAGAAATGTGGCTTCTGGCTAGCAATGTTGCTGTGACATCTATTTTATAGTTCAGATATATGTATTCTGCCAGTTTTAGTGATTTTAAAATATTTCTATCCCATGCTTCACCAGATCAGATACTAGCGCAGTGTACCTTGTAATGATTGTCTCAAATACGATACGAGTAGCACAACCCTGCAAGTTTTTCTCCAACTCTAGGGTAAATATTTCTTCACAAGATGGTGATGTTACTCTTCCTCTCCAGTGTCCCCATATAAAGGCACAGTTCAGATGTGAAATCAACAAGTTCCAGGCTTGCATGTGCTGTCCATGCTCTGATTCACTCCTGCACTTCCTGATTCTCAGCTGAACATTGCTTGTTGCTCCAGCTGAACTGCGCAAGCTCTCTTGCGGTAGCAAACCCCACAGTTTTAACTACAGTTTAATACTGCCATTTGTGTCCTTGTAGGGGCCTCGGGCGGAAGAAACATCGCATAGTCACAATGTTATTGTTTATGGAAAGCTTAATAGCACGTTCCTTAAGAACCAGTTAAGAAAAGTATCCTTAATAAAGGACATGAAAGCTATGCCTCTTGAAACCACACAGCAAGACGGCATCTGCAAAATCAATGCACCTATTTATAATCATTTCAAGTTTTTAACATATGCTGTTGTGAAGTTAACTATAATACTCTCAGTTTGTGGGGTAAACGGTACATTTGTTTTTCTATTGATTTCACTTCAAAAAAGTGCCTCAAGCTGGCTTTGTGCAGAACATAATATAAATGCCTATTATTACAATCAAAGCCAGCTATCGCTTGGTGATATTTGCTAGGCTTGGGCTGCTGCTGTTCTGCTGTGATAAATTTCAGCTGCACTCTTGCATGTACTTTACACAGAAATTTTCTCTTCAGGATTTGATGTCTACACTGAAAAGAAAGCATGGTCACAAGCAGAAACAGAATACCAGATAGTGGGGTCAAAGACTGAGTTTGGGGTTGAAGTAACAACTGGGAAAACAGCTTAGACCAGATTTCCAAACGAAACAGTTAAGTATAATAGTTTAATTCACATAGAAATGAAAAATGTGTATGTATTGAGGGAGATTTGGAACAGAAAATGTGTATTGCTAAACACGGGGGTTTCCCCCCAAAGAGTTTTTCTAAAGGACTGTAGAGCTGTAACTAGTTAATGATTACCTGTTGGTTATTTTTTTACTCTTGGCCCTCCAGATATTTTGGGACTACAGTTCCCATCATCCCTGACCACTGGTCCTGTTAGCTAGGGATGATGAGAGTTGTAGTCCCAAAGCAGCTGGAGGGCCAAGTTTGGCCATGCCTGGTACAGAGTAAAAAAAACACCTGCTACTGAGAGTGAATCTTTAATCATGTGATGACGGTATTGAGTTGCAAATACGTCCATCTTCAAAGGGTGGTGGTTGTTAGTCTTCCTCTGAACAGAACAAAACATGTGATAATGGCTCTCCAAGACTTTACAGCCTGGAGGCTGGAAACCGAGAGAGAGAGAGAGAGAGAGAGAGAGAGAGAGAGAGGGCTTTGCTTATAGGTCTGATTGTATTACTTCATATTTTGTAAGATGCTGAGCCTGTGCTGGACAGCACAATATACTGTATCAGTATTTTTGAGTTTTAATTCTGGTTTGAAGAAAGTTCTGCCAGTAAAAGGTAAAGTAATATTTTCATGGGTCTGGACAGTGCTTCATTTCCAAAGGAGTTAGTTCTTATCTATCCAGATGCTTCAAACTGTGCAATATTTAATAACTGCAACAGAAACAACACAATCCAAACCTCCTGGACTAATGTGCCAATTGGAATGTAGTTATACTCTGTATTTCACACTCCTGCCAACTTTTGCTATAGCGCTTTTGAAATATTTACCATATTACAAGGTGGTCTAAGGGATACCTTTAAAGTTTCCACTTCTTCCTCCCCCCCCCCCCCCAGGTTATAACCACTCCCAGAGTGCTGCATGAGTGTTAAGATTGGGGCCGCAAATGGCCATGGGAGGTGATGGGATATGATGACATGCTGTCTCTTCCAGGTCCTTTTTGGGGGAAAGATGTCTGCACCCCATGAGTCTATGGAGGATAAAATGCACTGTGGAATCCTTTCAAGGGTTACAATTGCTGCTTGCAGTTTGATATTAAACCTACAGAGCTATTAAGGCAAATACAACCTTGCAGTGTACAAATGTGTTTGCAGATCTTTCTCTGTGTTGGTTTTCTCTTTCTAGTGATTCATTGCTGAAACATTTATTCCATCCATGACAATGTGCTGACAGACACATTTTGATTAAAAGACAAGCAAGTCCAATACTATTGAGCAGTTCAGTCTGCAATGCACACAGCTCCATCTGTAACCTGTAATATTTCCAGCACTATGAAGTGAGCATTTCACTGTAGGGGAAGGATGCCCTTAAAAGGATGAATGGTACTCATATGAGTGCTGGTGTTTGAATCGGTTTACCTTCAAGTTTCAGGAGGAAAAGATGGAAAATGACAATAAACCACCAGAAAATTGGAAACTCTCCTGAGAACTGGAGTCTCTAACTTTTTCCTCAAAGCAATGAAACTGGATCAGATTGTGTCACAATATTGTTTGTGGCTTTGTCATTTTACGGAGGGGGGAGACCAAAAACTAGATATTAATATTCCCATCTTTCTGTCCTTATTTTCTGTTATTTCCTTGACATTTTGTTTTCAAAAGCAGAGCTAAAATTTCTCCCTTGTCACACAGATTTAACAATGACCGCTCCCCACATTAAATTGGGGGCACCCTTTGCGTGGTTGCACGCAGCCCCTGGACCCTATGTGGCAACATTAGCACAGGCTTGGCTTCGCCTTCCCCCAGGTGGAATACCTGGAGGTCTCTGCCTACCTCAGTTGCCCAATCCCACCTGGGAAAGCGTTGCCAAGGTGATCAGTCCAGGTAGGGGGAGGGACCACCCTGCCCACACAATAGAGGTAGGATCTTACCTGGGAATCTTCAGTAGGCTCCAGAGCTTCTCCCACCCTACCATCCCTCAATTAAGACTTCTTTTGCAGCTTAACTTTTTCTCCACAGGTATGCGGGTGCTGCTACGTTAAGGTCGCTGTTGAAGGGCTGGAAAGGAATTCCCCTGTATTGGCAGGTTTGCCTTTCCCGTAGCAAAACGTCACAACTTTGGCGGTATCAGGACTTGGGAGGAATCCTTTAGTCTATCTTCCCTGAATGGGGGGGGGGGGTTACAGCGGTGACCCATGCCCCCTCTCCTCTTTGCGGCCGTGATACCAGGGTTCCCCATTAACGGGGCTGTTTGAGGGGAGGCTTTGGCCGTACACCAAGAGTTCGTCATTGCTCTCCCCTGTGACAGCGGTGTAATGGGGGAGGGTTCTCTCTGCTTGAACATATGTTCTCCAGAGCCAGCCCACCCCACCCCCCACTGGATAACCCTGATGTTCCCCAGATCCCCGGCACGGGACTGGGAGGGATAAACACCCAATGCCTGAGCCAAGGTCTACCCACATCTGAAATATAATAAAGTTGTGGCCAATTTTAATCCCATAGCACATTGTCTTGAGTCGTTATTCCACACAGGGGGCCGCCCAGGGTTTGGGGGACTCCGCCTGTCCACACAATAGCTTTTTAAAAAACAAACAAACAAACTTCCTGCTGCCCCACTGAAACACCAGTTCCTGACTTCTCTCCTCTCTCATGGTGCTGCCTGAAGAAGCTCCCTTCTGCTGCTTGGCAGGAGCAGTCCTGACTCTTGGCTGGCAACAGTTCTCAAGGATCTTGGGACAGTCCTGGTAACAGCCTCCCAAAATCAATTTTTAACTGGAGACACTGAACCTGAGGCCAAATTCACACAAAGCAAAGGAGTTCTACTACTGAGCCCTCATTCCCTATACTTGGAGTTGTGTTAGTTTCACATGAGAGTTTCTTCATAATTTACTTCTTGTGGACTGGTGGCCAAAGGTGTTGCATTTTTCTTTCCAGGAAACATTCAGCCTCCCTCGCTGTCCATGTGTCCTGATATGAAAAGGCTCAGTGGAAAGTATTATCTCCTTATGCCTTCCTCTGGGCCTTTAATCAAATCATGGGCACCTAGGAAGGCTGCAGAGCCACTGGTGAGATGATTTGTAGAATTTTTAAAAATAGCACTTATGAACATCCATTGACCACTTCAGAAGTAAGGCAAGGATGTCAAAAGCCTGCACCTCTCCCACGAGAATTTGATTTGCATTTTTTCTTCCTCTTTTATAGGTTCTGAATGCAATTTCCTTTCTCATTAATGGGCGCAGAATGATTGGGAGGGAAATGAAGGAGACGTTTTTTGGCAGTGACAGATGTCCACAGAAGATGAAATGTTCACAACATTCACAGAAGATGAAAACTGGTTATATTAGCTGTGCTCACTGCAAATACTAGTATCAGCAACTGCCACCCTCAAGGCCCCTGATCAATGTATAAAACAGCACCAATTCCTGTTGTGTTTGATGCAGTACAAGCATATCCACAAGCATATCTTTGAACAGACTGAAGATATGCACCTGAAACTTACAATAGATTACAGTCAGAGACAGTGGTTCCGGGTGACTGAGACGGTGCTTCCAATCTAAACCCCAATTTTCAGCCACTCATAAAATCCTTTCCAAGCATTATAGCTTGGACTGAAATGTCTCCTTCTGGGTCACTGGGTCAAAGTTCAGTTATTTTGATAAGCCTTTAGAAAATTGTTCCATCTTTCAGAGTCATTTGACAGTGTGGGGAGCAGGAAAGGGTTTTCTTTCTTCCAATTTCTTTTTTCCCTCCTTTTTTTAAAAAAAATAATTTTTATTGAATGATTTTATGTTACAAAAAACAATGCAGCCATACTACCACTAAATATAATTAAGAAATTAAAATTACATACATTAATATTTAGTTTGTTATTTATTATTTACCGTCTTATTTCCTCCCAAACATTCCATACAAAAGCACACATATGTGCAAACACCCACACCCCCACACCTGCACACAAAATGATAATAATGAAAGTAAATATTTTTCCCCTTTTGTCTTCCAAAATCTTTTCTTCAACTTTGACTTCCTGTCAAGTCCCTTTGCATATATTTTCTTCCAATTTCACTGTGAGCATCGTTCCAGTGCTCCTTCTCCACTCATACTACAGTCTCCTTTTGAAAAAAACCTCACGGTGGGTGTTATTGAAATCATAGTCTGAATGCGAACTTTAAGACGTGATAAAGCCTCTCCACATATGAACTGGCCTAGATCCTGGAATCATCACCTGAGGGCTTCATGTGCCTCCTCCATGAGAGGTCCGGAGGGCAGCAACACGAGAACGGGCCTTTTCTGTGGTGAATCCCTACTTGCGTGTCAAGGCCCCAGACCAGCCCCTTGTTAAAATAAATCCACATGGACACAGAATATTTAGTTTAAGGTAACTGGCAAAATTTTAGGCCACAACTTTATTGAATTACAGAAATGTGAGCGGTATTGGCTTAGGCATTGGCGTAGACTATATCAGACTCCTGCCCACTTTACAGGTAGTCCATAAGGCAGCGCGAAGCAGGTGCATAGCCACGTTGCGCTGCCGCTTTTAAACTCCTCACAATCTCCCCACTCAAAACTGATTGGCCAACAGGTCTGGGGTGATTGTGATGCCACCCTGGCATGAAAGTGTTACTCCGCCCATGCCAGGGTGGGGGGAGGAACTGGGCTGGGGGCCTGCCCGCAACCAGGACCATTCTAACGATGATCCGACTTGTCAAATGCTCTCCCCAGAGAGGCTCACTTGGCACCTTCGTTGCACAACTTTAGGCACCAGGTAAAAGCATTCCTCTCCTCCCAGGCCTTTGGCTAATGAAACAATCCATGGTCTTGGGGGGGGGGATTGTTTTTGTTTCTTACTATGATATGTATCTTTGTGCTTTTATATTGTAAACTGCCCTGTGATCCTCGGATGAAGGCCAGTATAGCAATTTAATGAATAATAATAAATGTATGTTTGGAATCTCATGTTTTCTGGGTGAGGGACTTAGCAAGAACTTAAGAAGAATATCTACACGACATTGAACCTAGTGCTGGGTGCTGACCTAAGGCAGCAGGGTAAGCGTGTGGGCAGCAGATCAGTAGCCTGGCATTGCAGAGAAGCAAGTGGCCTCCCCCTACTGGTGGCACTGTGTGGGAAACATGGCACAGCCCAGCAGCCTCTGAAACAACACTAAGGGAGTATGTTAGTTTAAGTGTGTTCTGTCCAATGTAGTACATTTTCGCAACCAACTTTTCTACCCCATGAGTACATTCTTATCGTTTATGTTTTTAAAGAAAAGAAGAAAAGGCCAGAGGTTTCAGCAAATTTCACTTACGGTAGCCTCCTTGCTCAGTGGCAAAGAGTGCATGTAGAGTTTAGAAAGTTCCACATTCAGTGGGCAGGGCAACAAAGATAATTCATTAAAAGGGGGACCAATCTTCACAAAACTGTTCAAGACCTGCTTTGTGGAAAGATGATTTTCAAGATCAAATGACAAAAACCCAAGTGTGTTTCAGAGCATTTGTTGCAGTTACTTTGTAATACTTTGTTCCTCAGCACACGTGTGACTTATATATTTTCTTCTGCTGCTTCTCATACAACAGCCAAAGCGAGAGAAACAAACATCTCATTCGTGATGAGATATGTGAACACAAGTGGTAGGTACAGCTCAACACATTGGAGGTGTGCAAATTCCCCCTTTCAATGTTATATTGTATGTGTGAAACAAAGATCTGTGAGTTGCTTGCAGATCCATGGTGTGTGGAGCTCCTTAAATTGGATGGACAACATGTCAAATCAGATTAGACATGTGTAGCAACCCAATAACAAATTCCTGAAAGTCAATCTGTGCTTGAATCCCTTTCCGAAGTGGACATCTTTAGCCATATTCAGATGTAAGAACCACCCACATTAAAAGAACTCTTGGGAGGGGGGAGTGGTCATGCACCCCTTCCCCAACATCCCCACTCCCACTTTTGACCTTCACACATTCAGATTTGTATATTTCGTTTTTAGCAGTCCATGCACAGACAGATTTGCAGTCATAGGGTATGTTCTCATGCTGCCCACATCTAATCAGAAACACAAGCTGCTATCTTTTAAGAAAACCAGGAAAGGCAATTCTTTGAACTCTCTTACCTTTCCCAGCCTGAAGTCTCAACCCTCCCTGACAGAGCTGCAATAGACTAAAGAAGCAAACATAGCTCTGGGCACCAGCTTCACAGGCTGCAGACGAGAAAAATAACATTGGAGGAAGTCCATTTCAGTTTCAAAATGTTGACTATATAATGACTGAAAGGTAAGTCTCAAGATCAGAATAAAGTGAGTCAAAGTGGGGCTCAACAGAAACATGCCACCAGCCATATGAACTTGTGCACAGCTATTTGAAGAAAAGACAAAGTGTTTTCTTCTGTCAACTTTCTTTCCGCTCAACCCCCTCCATTCCAAGTATGAAGCAACCCACAAACGAAAATGTCACCAAATTTATTGAGTTAGGATGTAGCGTATGCAGCTCATTCTCAAGTCTTTGAGCCCTTGGAGGGTTTTTTCACTCTTCCAGAACTCACTCAAAGATGCTGCACTGTCAATATTCTGATGGTGATGCCTTTACCCTGTGAAGAAGTTAGAATGCTTTTGAGCACCTCAATGACAGCCTAGCCAGTATCACTCCCCCAAAAGGTGAATGGGAATCACAAACATAAGCAGATTTGAGGGGATTTGTGATGTGTCCCTTGCAATTTTAGAAGAAGAGATGGGACATCTTAAGGATTCTCAGGAGTAGGGCTTATGTAGATACTTCATAGTCAACAGCAACAACTATTTATTTATTTATACATACATACATACATACATACCCCGCACATCTGGCTGGGTTTACCCAGCCACTCTGGGCGGCTTCCAACAAAATATTAAAAATACAATAAAACATCAGACATTAAAAAATTCTCTAAGCAGGGCTGCCTTCAGATGTCTTCTAAAAGTCAGGTAGTTATTTCCTTGACATCTGATGGGAGGGCGTTCCATAGGGCCGGCGCCACTACCGAGAAGGCCCTCTGTCTGGTTCCCTGTACCCTCACATCTCACAATGAGGGAACCGCCAGAAGGCCCTCAGACCTGGACCTCAGGCTGAACGATGGGGGTGGAGACGCTCCTTCACTTGCAACTATAAGATCCTAACTGCAATCTTTATTAAGGATTTGAAAAGAGTTCTGTTGCACATCATTACCAGGTCTCCCATTTTTGAATCAAGAAACTGCTGGATGTTCAATGAACAGTTGCAGAAGCAATGCCTTGCATTTAGAAGGTCCCACGTTCGAACTCTGCCATTTCCAGTTAATAGATCTAAACAAAGGGAACCATTAGAAAAACTGGAGAGTCATTGCAGATGTTCAAGATGTTCAGTCATCACTTTTCAGCCTCTCTCTCTCTCTCTCTCTCTCTCTCTCTCTCTCTCTCTGCATCACCTCGTATGGGCAGCCATCACAGCAGCATCCATTCCTTGGATTCCTGCTAAATCCAAAAGTGAAGGCTGTCAGTACTGAAGAAGCAAGAGGGATATGAATATGGCAGCAGTGTCTTGGAGGCAGTACGGGCAAGGCCTTTGGGCTAGACCCAGAGGGCGGAAGGAAAAGGTTCTAACTGTCCAACTTCTTAGATCATAGAATCATAGAATCATAGAGTTGGAAGAGACCACAAGGGCCATCGAGTCCAACCCCCTGCCAAGCAGGAAACACCATCAGAGCACTCCTGACATATGGTTGTCAAGCCTCTGCTTAAAGACCTGCAAAGAAGGAGACTCCACCACACTCCTTGGCAGCAAATTCCACTGTCGAACAGCTCTTACTGTCAGGAAGTTCTTCCTAATGTTTAGGTGGAATCTTCTTTCTTGTAGTTTGGATCCATTGCTCCGTGTCCGCTTCTCTGGAGCAGCAGAAAACAACCTTTCTCCCTCCTCTATGTGACATCCTTTTATATATTTCATAGAATCATAGAATCATAGAATCATAGAGTTGGAAGAGACCACAAGGGCCATCGAGTCCAACCCCCTGCCAAGCAGGAAACACCATCAGAGCACTCCTGACATATGGTTGTCAAGCCTCTGCTTAAAGACCTCCAAAGAAGGAGAACATGGCTGTCATATCACCCCTTAACCTCCTCTTCTCCAGGCTAAACATGCCCAGCTCCCTTAGCCGTTCCTCATAAGGCATCGTTTCCAGGCCTTTGACCATTTTGGTTGCCCTCCTCTGGACACGTTCCAGTTTGTCAGTGTCCTTCTTGAACTGTGGTGCCCAGAACTGGACACAGTACTCCAGGTGAGGTCTGACCAGAACAGAATACAGTGGCACTATTACTTCCCTTGATCTAGATGCTATACTCCTATTGATGCAGCCCAGAATTGCATTGGCTTTTTTAGCTGCCGCGTCACACTGTTGGCTCATGTCAAGTTTGTGGTCAACCAAGACTCCTAGATCCTTTTCACATGTACTGCTCTCAAGCCAGGTGTCACCCAACTTGCATTTGTGCCTCTCATTTTTTTTTTGCCCAAGTGCAATACTTTACATTTCTCCCTGTTAAAATTCATCTTGTTTGTTTTTGCCCAATTCTCTAATCTGTCAAGGTCGTTTTGATGTGTTAGCCACCCCTCCCAGTGTTAGCCTCCCCTCCCAGATGCTGGCAGGCATGCAATAATTGCATTTTGAGCATTTCAAAACTACTTCATTCTCAATCTGTCAAGCAAATGTATGCCCTCTCTTCTTTTCAGAGAGTCTCCCCTTCTGCTGCCACAGACACCCCATGCTGTTCCACGTTGCTAGAGTACCAGCTAGCTTGGCCTCTGTGCCACATTTTAAGCAGCTTGTTTCATGTTTCCTCCAAAAGGGAAGTTCAAAGTGGCTCAGCTGCCTGATATTTTTTTAAAAATAAAATAAAATAATGACAGGGGAGGGTGTCAACCACACTAGAGGAGAAACAGAGCCTTTTCCAATTGAAGTCAAAACTGCCCGAGAAGTGCTGGCACCACAACTTTTTTTTAAAAAAGGAAGAAAACTGCTGTGTTATTTCTCTGTGCAGCTGCCACACCTAGCAGGGAGCTAGGTCTCAGTCCCCCTCGTTCGCACAGATGACATTTTGTGGTGCAAAGGAGATGAGGAGAAAGAGAACCAGGGTGAGGAGAAACCAACGTCCTACAGGGCACTGGACGAAACAGGATGAAAAGTCCTCTCTTATTTTATCACAAAATAGAGCTTCACACTTGCTGGATTCTTCTCCCCCTCACTCCGGCTGCTCAGATGAACTGACTACCTAACAGGCTTCTGATTAGGAGCAATGTCTGCAGCTGATATGTGCACTTTGAAAAAAGCATTCTACACAATATGCACAGTTCATTCATTTAAGAGGACTGGCAAAGCCCTGACCTTCTGGAACAGACTTGTCTTCAAAGAAGCTGCATCACTGGAACATGGGGTGGGTGAACGCGCTCCCGCTGTTCTCATTTGCAAGACTGATAAAATCATATCAGGAGAGCAGAATAGTTCTTTCAAAAGCAGGGTAAATCTTTGGTAAGAGGAAGCGTGGGAAGCCAAAGACTATATAGGTTACTATGCCCAAATCTGTTCTACCCCGCCCTGCAAAAAAAACCCTGTTCCCACTGGACTCCTGAGTAAACAAGGGACTTTCCAGTATCAATGCTGAGAGCAACCAAAGCAGAATCCATGACTGATCCATGGTCACAGTCGAAAAAAGGAGGGTCAGGTGAGAAGTAAAGTCAGAGCAGTCCATGATTAGGTTTAAGGACTCAGGTGGTGCTGTGGTCTAAACCACTGAGCCTCTTGGACTTGCCGATCAGAAAATCAGCAGTTTGAATCCGTGCAATGGGGTGAGCTCCTGTTGCTCTGTCCCAGCTCCTGCCAACCTAGCAGTTAGAAAGCACACCAGTGCAAGTAGATAAATAGGTACCACTGCGTTGGGAAGGTAAACAGCATTTCCCTGCGCTCTGGTTTCCATAACGGTGTCCCATTGTGCCAGAAGCGGTTTAGTCATGCTGGCCACATGACCCAGAAAGCTGTCTGTCAACAAACGCCGGCTTCCTTGGACTGAAAGCAAGATGAGCACAGCAACCCCAAAGTCGCCTTTGACTGGACTTGACTGGATCAGGTTTAGCATAGGCAGAAGATCTGATAGCCAGCACTGGAGTTGGAGCCGCTGGAACCACATCCTAACCTCAGCCAACTCCTATCAATTTCCTTTTCTCCAAAGGTCAGTCTCCCTAAGTGTCTTTCTCCCAAGCAGACTTATACCCCTGAGGAGCACTTTTCCGTATGGGCCAGGTTTCTATCTGGCATTTCAGCTAGACAGAAGGGATCTTAGGAAGATTCTTGTGTGGAAGAAACACACAGCTGGGGTTTCCTTTTTCCTTCATTTCGCAGCATCTCATTACCGATAGTAGTGATAAGCTATTATCAATGACAATTTCACATTGATTTGTTGATTCCTGTTTCCATTATGCTGACATGGTAACAAAGGAAACTATGGAAATGCATACTGGCACAGAGTCAATCAATAAAAGAGCCACATAAGAACCTATGAACAATGATGATATGCAAATATATTACCGGGGCAACGGACAATAGAAACTACTTGCTGACACCAATGTGCTGCGAGTCAACAGTTTTCCTATCAAAGACAGAGTTAAGAAGTAACTCACTAATAGCAGATTTGAATTCCTCTATAATTCCATCCTCAGTTTCAGAGATTGTGATATATTGGTATATTGTTTAGCTGGTGATATATCAAGATGTGGAAAACCAGACATCGCTCATTCCTACACTTCATAATGTGTGAACGGAGGCAATTTTGTTCTGACAGAACTCAAAGATACTTGTATGTGTGGTAAATTAATCCTTAAAATTAGCTCTGTTCTATTGACTAAAGTTAAAAGTCACAGGAACAATATGAAGCCTAATGTTTTGCTTTCAGCAAAACAAAGATTACAAAGAATACAGCACATTCAAACTTAACCAGGAAATGAATAATATGGCAATTATGTGGCGTGTTTCACCATGGCAACACCACAAAGCGAAGGTACACAATTTCTGGAAACAATCTTAACCCACATTAAATATTTTTGTTACCAACCACTATTTTAGAATGTTCTCAATTGTACATCAAGTACCTGCTGTCAACAATGTATTAGGATGTCAGGGTGCTTTGCATAAAATGAGTAAAGCTTTCTCGCCTTCTTGAAAAGCAACAGTTATTTTGCGCAATCCACATGTTCTCAGGCACGCTAACTGGAGGATACCAATGTCCTTCCCCCCTTTTTTTGGCCAATGTATAAGCAATGACAAACCTAGACAGTGTCTTAAAAAGCAGAGACATCACCTTGCCAACAAAGGTCCGTATAGTTAAAGCTATGGTTTTCCCAGTAGTGATGTATGGAAGTGAGAGCTGGACGAAGAAGGCTGTTCGCTGAAGAATTGATGCTTTTGAATTATGGTGCTGGAGGAGACTCTTGAGAGTCCCATGGACTGCAAGAAGATCAAACCTATCCATTCTGAAGGAAATCAGCCCTGAGTGTTCACTGGAAGGACAGATCCTGAAGCTGAGGCTCCAATACTTTGGCCACCTCATGAGAAGAGAAGACTCCCTGGAAAAGACCCTGATGTTGGGAAAGATGGAGGGCACAAGGAGAAGGGGACAGCAGAGGACGAGATGGTTGGACAGTGTTCTTGAAGCTACCAGCATGAGTTTGACCAAACTGCGGGAGGCAGTGGAAGACAGGAGTGCCTGGCGTGCTCTGGTCCATGGGGTCACGAAGAGTTGGACACGACTAAACAACTAAACAACAACAACATAAGTATTCACTCTGGCTTGTTGTTTTCTCAGTCCAGTTACTTTGGAATATAAAAGATAACTCACGTTGTTAATTAATTACATGATGATGATGAGGATTAATACAATGCCCTTTCTGTTCAGGACTCATGTCTGTTGCATCCTTCTCACGCCGCCCTGCATCATCGCGAAGTAGCATAAGACTAGCAGGGCAGCATAACTGCCCTCTTTGGGTGCCTGCCTGTTGTGCCTGCCAAGGGTCATGGGTGGGAAGGGGTGCAGCAAAATGCTCCCCCCAATGCACTCGGGGTCACCGCCCCTCTGGCCCTCCCCACATGATGCCACTGATTCGACCTCAAGTCCATGTGGTCCCAGGCCACAGAAAGGTTAGGCTGACCTCAACTAGAGCCAGGGCTTTTTCGGCTGTGGCTCCAATCTGGTGGAAAGCTCTGTCACAAGAGACTAGGGCCCTGCGGGACTTGACATCTTTCCGCAGGGCCTGCAAGACAGAGCTGTTCCACCAGGCCTTTGGCCAGAGCACAGACTGACTCCCTCCTTTGGCAATCTTCACAGAACTTTAGCCTAATGGTTGCCATCAATTTGAGTTGAATTAATTTTAATGAAATGATTTTAGAATATTGCATTATTTTATTGTTGTTAGCCGCCGTGAGCCCGGCTTCGGCTGGGGAGGGCGGGATATAAATAAAAATTATTATTATTATTATTATTATTATTATTATTATTATTATTATGCCAACCATGCAGGATTAAGTGAATTGTAATTCAAAGTATGTGGAAGACACCAGGCTGGGGAAGGCTGTTTTATGGATATCTTCCCTTCTGTGGACCTAGTCCCATGCCACCATTTTTGCACCTTTGCTTTCGTTAAGTGTTAGGCCCTATTGAAATGGAAGTACGTCAAGTTACAAGGTGCACTCTCTCCTTACAGCCTCTGCTTTCAACTTGTTCCAATTTTACATTAAAATAATTATAACCCCATGAAAATTGCTGGCATGCTGGCACTTATTACACATAATTTGGAACCATACAATAGGTAGAGGTAATTTCGGTTCTATTTCAGAAATATCTTTAGGCATGCAATAACAGTTGACTATTAAATAATTCCCCAGATATTCCGTAAAAAATGTATTCTGCTGGGGAAACACATGAGCTTGCATAAATAAAGCTGGTGGGCCGTATTAATCTGAATGCTTTTGTCATATACCTATTAACTACAGGAAAGCCAATTAGAGGAAAAACCACTCCACCAATTGAAGGCTGCTTTTCATGTTTATTTTGTATCTAAAAGGGCTTATTGTTGACAAAGGCTAACCTAGCATTGCGGGCAAAAAAATTCTGCATTCAGCTCTACTCCCACATGAAACCGACTCGCGGTATGGAGAAAGTACACTCTTGAAAAATCAATATTGCCTATACCAAATTTAAGTGAATGTATTACTGCTATGTGCATAGTTATAAAATGTCACAGATTACCTTCACAGTCCTAGCTAAAGCTTTTTAAAAACGTCATCCTCTCCCGAACTAGAGGAGCACCCCGATGTTCAAATGGCCAAAATTCAAAATTAAAGTGAAAGAGATGCAGTGGATATTAAACGGATTCATTGCATGTGTTTTATTGTGCTGAATAATAACCAGAGATATATATGTTCTAGAGCTATAATACCTGAAACCTGGGTTGAGTAAGAATACCCTCGTCTGGAAAGCTGTTACATTCACTGAATTGTCATCTCCAGATACTGTCTGCTTCTAGGTTATTTGGTGTCCACTTAGGTTATCTGCCTTCAGATGTATGTGAGTGCATCACCTTTCCATGTGGAATGTAAAATACGTTATAAATAACAATCGGTGATGTCCGACTAAGTTATCCTCTGAGTATAACCTCTGAAATCAGTGACTCAAGTCTATTGATTTCAGTGGGTACCCTCAGCAAACAATACTGCTGGCTCATCTGGAAGCAATAAACGATGTCATATTCTGGTTTGTTTTCAGTTAAATAAAATTAGAATGTTTTCACCTCAAATTTCCCTCTCTGTGGAATTCCCTCCCATCAGATGTCCATGAGAGAAATAACTATACAACTTTGAGAAAACATCTGAAGGGTGGCAGCCCTGTATCAGGAGGTTTTTAGTGTCTGATGTTTTATGATATTTTTACATGTGTTGGAAGCCACCCAGAGTGGGGAAATAAATAAAATTGTTTGTTGTTGTTGCTGTTGTTTTGTTGTTGTTTTTATTTTTGTTGTTGTTGTTGTTGCATTTTAAATGAGATCCCTGGCTACTGACAGCTTATTTTATGTTATTTTATGTTAATCTACCAACAGTTCTCAAATTGCTTTGTAGTCTTGAATCTTCTCTCACCATTACAAATTATCCCACCAGTAGTAAGCATAAGGTTTTGTTATTTGCAGGCCATCTTTGCAGTATTTTTTTCAGCTGGAACTTGCCAGAACTCAGTACCAGCACCTCTCAGGTTGGTGCTATTGCCATTATAAGAAAACAAGTGTTCATGGTGAGTTCCGGCACCTCTTTTCCTAGAAAAATAGCACTGGTATGTTGAAATATCAAGCAACCTTTCTTAAGCATTGGAGTGATCATTCCTTTTGGGAGACCAGGCTAAAACTGAGCGATTGATACACATTTTAATCTTGAACATAGGAAGTCCCAAGCACATGTATAAGGGGAAAAACAACAGCATGTCAGAGTGATGTGTCATACTCTACCACATACTGAAAAGCAAATTCAAAGGTGGATATTTCCAACAGCACACTTTTGCTACTGCGCAGGGATACTTTTTTGTATCATAATCTTGTATGCTAATGGAAATGCTCCCATTTGCCTCTCACACTTTACTAACTACAGTTTCCAGGATTCCTTTAAATGTGCCATGGATGTGCTTTAAATGTATGGTGTGGATCGCCCAAGGGGAAAAGAAATACGTCAAGCAAACATGTCCATCCACCTAGAAGCTGAGGCTTTTTGTGTGTGCAGTCGAGTTAATTTTCGAAACGCATGAAAGAAAACAAGAGGCAAACTTGTTCACACAATGTAAGAATGGATTCGTAACAATGTAATTCATAGAATGAGTGGCAGCAAATTATAGTAAAAGAGCAGAGCAGTTCTCCATTGTTTAAATTTCTGTTCTAAATGGTAAAGAGATAAGGAGGAGGTATACTTGGTAGGCTGATTCTCTGCTTATTGTCTAAATTTGTTGTCCAAGAAGGGAGGAGGGAGAACACAACCACTTTAAAAGGGTAAATGTTAAGTGTTATTTTTCTTCCTTAATAGCTAGATCACTCAAAATCATAATGCTGTGATTAATTTGGAAAGCTTTTACTCTTTGTTCCACCTGCGTCTAATTAGAAATGTCATGGTTTAGAATAAAAAAAATAAAATAAAATAAAAACTTGTGGGAAGCCAATTATGAACGCAGTTGCTAGGACCTCTGTTGCATCTGCATTCCGGCAAGTTCAAAGATTGTGCATCACTCTATCCCAGACCAAACACAGCAACCCAAATAGATTAAAAATGTAACAGCATCAGACTTTGTGTTTTGTTCCTGAAAACTTCCACTGGCACAGCATTTCCACAAGGATTATGTGCTTAATTGAACAGATGAATGGGAGCCGCAAATAGTTCAAACTTGCCACAAAGCACACACATTTCCCTGTTCCGGCAATGAGTGATGCCAAACAGCTTTCCAGTCACATTAAAAGCCAAGCACACATTACTGGCTGAAAGGGCAGCATGCCATTGTACATGTCAGCATGGTTTGATGTGCAGCAAAATCTCCCGTTCTATGTGCATACCACTGGGTGGAGATGGTGCAGGGATGTCTTAGCTCAAGGTGCATTCTCAATATCTGCTAACATTAGCAGGGTCAGGCTGAAGCTAGCTTGAGCAGCTACTCACTCACTCCTCATAGGCATCACAACCAACCAAGGCAAGTGCCTAGGCTGCTCTTGATGCTTCAACCAGTAGCCCTCACTGTTGCTCAGCCTCACTTCAGTGTTAAAGACTTGAGGGAGGGGAAGGAGGAAAAAATGGGGATGAAATCAAATTATGGAGTGGAAAGAAGTTAGTGTGGAGGTCCAGGTTGTGAAGGGGGAAACAATGGACAAATAAGGCAGGGCAACTTTTGATAGGAAGAATAATGAAAGAAATGAGTTGTTGACTTCAGGTGAGATTCAGCCATGTTGCTGATGCAGATAGCTCGGAACACATTAAATCGAATATAAAATTGCTTGCTTGCTCTGTTTCTTTCTAAAGAGCAAGGGGAAAGCCCTCCAAATCTAGCTAGCAAGTTGGTCACAAATTATCTGGTTCATTTGCAGGTTAATATTTTGGGGGTGCATCTTGTGGTCTCATACTGTAAGTTTTGCTTTGCTATTTTGTGCATTATTTAATTGCTTATTTTCTTTAATTGGTCTATTGCACATATTACTATTATTTTGGTTCATATTGTATTGTAAACTTCCCTGGGATAAATATTATGAAGAGCAGTATATAAATGTCCTAAATAAATAAATTACTATATAAGGCAAAGAAACTCATCTGTGAGAAACTCGGGCTGCCATCCTAAACACACTTATGAGGGAGTCAGTACTATGACACACAGCAGGGCATACGTATGAGTAAAGATGCATTAGATGGGGTTCCCCATTAGTCAGCTGGTCTTGATTTATGCCATGCACAACACTTTGCTTTATCCCCCACAACCCCCCAAAATTCAAACTTATCTGGGCTTTAAAAAGTGGAGGAGAGAAAGCAACAGGCAGAGCAGATAATACAGACCACAGTAAGCAAAACTCGGAAAGAACATCATGAAGATTAGAATAAAACATTAACTAAGACTTTTCCCTCATGCTGAGGCAGAGGGGTTCAATTTTTACCCAACAAAGCTCTGGGTCACCACAGAGGGTAATAGATAGGTTTTCTCTTCCTGTGATAAAACCAAAAGAATCATTTGATTCATAAATACTGATATCTAAAGAATGAGAACTTGAAGAGGGTATTTCAGAGGAGACGATAATTAAAGATCCTATCTCCTGGAGTTTTAGTTCCCTTACAGAAAAGCTTTTATTGAATTATTAGCAGTTTCTGGATTATCCTAAACAGTAACCTTTCTGATACGAAGTGTTTTGAGTGCTGATTTTTAATTAGGGATAGCTGCACCACAGAACAGTTCTATCAAAATTCGAAGAGAGTCATCAAAGACCATCGGCCTTTCATTGTTGTGTCTGTCATGAGATTCCTTTTTAACATTCATGGACAGATTACTGCTAGTACATGCAAGCCTCCTTTTTGTCCCTTTTAAGGGCTCATTCTTATGTTACCTTTGAGCTGCAGTTGATGCTGATGTGGAAAGTAAATTACAGGAGGGATAGGGTACCAGTCAGTGCCAGATTTATTTATAAGCTAAACAAGCTATAGCTTAGGGCCCCACTCTCTTGGGGACCCCCCAAAATAAACTTCTTCTTAATTGTTTTTCACTATTAATGTACTTCTTCTTAATTGTATTTCAGTTCAACCATTACTTTGATAAAATACATATTTTGTTATGTGCAAATGAAAACAGTGACAATTTGTTGTTGACAAAGGACAGCTGGACATTACCTTCAGTAGCTTAGGGTCTCATTGAACCTTAATCCGGCCCTGGTACCAGTGACCCTCCACATCAGGGGCCAGCAACGTTTTCAGTTCCATGAGCACTTTTGGATTTCAGAGAGAGAGCTGTGAGCACAATCTCCTCCAGTCATGCTCTCTCTCCCCTACTAGATCACTCCCACCCCATGACAAAGGAAGAGTAAGCATGTGCACACAATTCACTTTTCAAAGTGATTGGGGGTAAGAGCCAGTTCTGCTATAATTAATATGAACCTTGAAAAACGCACAGAGGAGTGCTATTCAATCGAGTTTTACTCAGGGTTGGCCAGCTGAAATGAATGGGTCTTAATTTCAGTGGGTTTACTCTGAACAAAACTGAGTTGGCCATCACTCAAAAAGAAGAAGTGGGAAAGATTGCTGCTCTTCCACCTTTCTCTTTCAGCTTTATGTATCCAAGGCTGGGATGTGGGTGGCGCTGTGGTCTAAACCACTGAGCCTCTTGGGCTTGCCGATCAGAAGGTCAGCGGTTCGAATCCGCACAGCGGGCTGAGCTCCTGTTGCCCTGTCCCAGCTTCTGCCAACCTAGCAGTTTGCAAGCACACCCATGCAAGTAGATAAATAGGTACTGCTGCAGCGGGAAGGTAAGTGGCATTTCTGTGCGCTCTGGTTTCTGTCATGGTGTCCTGTTACACCGGAAGTGGTTTAGTCATGCTGGCCACATGACCCAGAAAACTGTCTGTGGGCAAACGCTGGTTCCCTTGGTCTGAAAGTGAGACAAGTGCCGCAATCCCATAGTCACCTTTGACTGGACTTAACCATCCAGGGGTCCTTTACCTTTACCTTTTACCTATGTTTCCAAGGAGAATGCAGCCACATCCCGGAAATGGAATATTGTCCTTATTTTGTTGTAAAATATCATCAAAGAGTGCCCTAAAAACCCCCAATCCCCTTTTCTTTTTGATGCAAATTCCCCAAAGCTCAGCAGGTGAAGTATTATGGAGTGTTTTCAAAATACCACCTCATTAAAATTGGAGAAATCCCAATGTCTTAAAAAATTGTAACCAACATGTAGTGCAGTCTTTCCTAGCCTGGTGCCATCCTGGTGGTGGTGGACTCCAACCCACACCATCCCTGCCCATTGGCTATGCTGACTGGGGCTGATGGGAACTGTAGTTCAATAATAATAATAATAAAAAACCCACATGGAGGGCACCAGTTTGGGGAAGGCAGGTGTAGAGCTTTGTTTCTATCCCCATAAATCTTTGACGGAAGAGTTTAGCATCATATTACTATTGTACTTGAACAGTGTATTTAGTGATCCAGAAACTCTTGTCATTGTACACTGGGCACAGTTCCCCTAACAGTTATCTATCTGTATATTTTGCTGACTGCAGCAATGATAAATATTTCATCATATTTTATTCCTGCACAATAAATCCCCTCTCAGTGAAATTAGTTCCTATAATTAAGTCTTTGAACAAAGCTGAGGTGTACTGAAATATAGTTAAGATGATGCTGGGATATAAGCAAAGGAAAGACACCATGAGCAATAAAAAAGTAAGTATGGAGTTATGGAGTAAGTAGCCCTTCCAGCTGTGAGACTGAGCTTTGAAATTAAAACAGTAGCTATGGCTGAGCAGGCAAAAAGATTCAGTTTAGATGAAACTGGTCCATTAATTAATATAATATAGTTTAAGTGTTCTTTCCCCAAAGACTGCATCCACCACACTCACACACGACAATTGCATATCCTTCAATATTTCTCCAATGAAGATAGGGAAATCTAATTGCTTCTTCCATGCAACTGAAGGCAGCTTTTGGCCATTGCTCAGTAGTAAAGCCCTTGGTTTGCAGGCAAAAAGTCCCACTTTAAATCCCTGGCATCTCCAGTTAGGGCTGGGAGAGATCCCTGCCTGAAATCCCGGAGGGGCTATTGAGCTCCCATCAAGTGCAACTGTCAGGCTTTGGGGACTCCGATCCCTCCCATGGTGGCAGCCAAGAAGCAAAGAAATGATAAAAGTTCTTACGATGTAATTTATTCAATAATTCACAGAGAGCGACGAAGGAATGCAGTCTTTCCTAAAGAACGGCGCTGCTCCAAGTAAAGTCCCACCCTCCTCCTTCTCTCCATTCTATGTCACCCCTGCATCAGCTAATCTGAGCTTTCTGCCTCTGAGCTCTCTGTTCTACTACCTTCAATGCCCGCCTGGTTCTGGGAGAGGGGTGTGTGTCAGGAATGCTTTCCAAGGACACTGAGTCTGCCAGCTGTCTCTCCCCTGGTGCTTCTTCTTCTTCCTGCTTTTCCTCTTCTGATACGTCCCAACTTCTCCCCTCTGCAGCCTCTGAACTATGTCCTTCTGCAAACCACTGTTCTAAATCTATACTGTCCTCCTGATTTTGGGAAGGTTCAGGAGAAGGGGGCGCAGTCCTCACCATTCCTCCTCAGTCCAGCCCCTGACACCAGCTGATGGCGATGGGAGTTGTGGTTCGGCAGCATCTAGAGGGTGCTGCATTGGCTATCTCTGGTGTAGGGTAGGGGCTAAAGGAAGTTAAGTGGGTATGAATCTGAGCAACATCATGGGAGGAATGTTTCTAGCTACTCTGTGCTTTGATTATTTTTATTATGTATTTTGTGCTTTGTATACTGTAACATTGTGTTGCGAACCACCCTGAGACCTATGGGTATAGGATGGTATACAAGTTTTATTAAAGGTAAGGTAAAGGTAAAGGAACCCTGGACAGTTTGTCCTTTCAAAGGCGACTATGGGGTGCAGTGCTCATCTCGCTTTCAGGCCAAGGGAGCCGACGTTTGTCCACAGACAGCTTTCCGGGTCATGTGGCCAGCGTGACTAAACCACTTCCGATGCAATGGAACACCATGACAGAAGCCAGAGTGCACGGAAACACCGTTTACCTTCCCACTACAGTGGTACCTATTTATCTACTTGCACTGGCATGCTTTCCAACTGCTAGGTTGGCAGGAACTTGGACAGAGCAATGGGAGCTCAGCCCCGTCAAGGGGATTCAAACCGCCGACCTTCTGATCAGCAAGCACAAGATGCTCAGAGGTTTAGACCACAGCGCCACCTGCTCCCAAAAATGTTACCTTAAATTTTACTAACAACAGCAGAAGCAGGAGCAACAACAATAGCAGCAGCAGCAGCGCAGGGACTGACATCAGCTGTTGTCATGTGAATTATAGTCCTCCTCCTCCCTCCCCATTTTTGTGGGCAAACTACTTTTGTGCCATGTCCATTCTTTTCTCATTTCGCTTATTCTCTGAGAGTAACTCAGCAGTTGCACAATTTACTGTGATGAGTACTTGATGAAGACAGACCATTTTCAGAGAGACTGCTGTAATTCTGGTAAAGAAGGGGGGGGGCATAAAGACGTCAGCAAGATGACAAAAGCATGGCATATGTACAGTGTACTTTGTTGCGAGTGAAGCATGAAGGAAAGTCAAAGGCAGACTTCATTATTTCAGTAAGTCCCACAATCTAAAATGTGTCACTATTTGTGACAGCAAATTGAAGTGCTCTGAGGAAGTTCTCAAAAGGAGAGATGACAGAATCACAAAGTTGCATTTGTATCTAATGTAAAAAGAACTACAGAGGGATCATTAAAATGAAACTCTTCATGTAGCTGCATAATAGATGTAAAACACACTTTTCCAGAGGAAAGGGTACTATCTCATTTGAAATTTAAATGCAAGAAATGACAAAGCAATGCCAATTACTTTTGGATAATAGCCTTCTGCACTGCAGAGTCAAAATGGACATTTGCAGTGCCCTTTGTATTCGAGAAGCTCCTTTGAGTCACTCAACGTGGATTTGATTACTAAATTAATAGAATTTATCATATTTTATCAAATTTAGGGCATATACAATTGCCTGATAAATGGTTGCTTCTGATTACGCAAACTGTCTTTGTTGCAAAAGGTTACAGCTTTTACAAAGAGCTACATGGCAGAGTTACAATATATTCAAATCAAAAGGGTTCCCAGCTAATCAAGGCTTGGGCACTTGGAAGCGTTGCCATTTGCTGTGACTTTGAGAAGTTCTGTCAGTGTCATCAGTAGATACCAGCATCTTGCAATCAAGTTTTAAATCTAGGCCAAACCTAATTCTCCATTATCTCAGAAGGGTTTGGCTGCTTTCGTCATTTCGTTTCGTGTGGCATTATTTTTAACCCACCCTAGGACCAAAGGCAAGGTAAAGGCAAAGGACCCCTGGACAGTTAAGTCCAGTCAAGCTGGGGTGTGCGGCGCTCATCTCACTTTTCAGGCTGAGGGAGCCAGCGTTTGTCCACAGACAGCTTTCTCATCAAACACATTCTCTCAGTAGTCATGTCATTTACTTTCATAGAATAGAATCATAGAACTGCAGAGCTGGAAGGGTCCACAAGGGTAATCTAATCCAACCCCCTGCAAGGCAAGAATCTTTCACCCATTGGGGACTCAAACCCATAACCCTGAGATTAGTTTACTTTTACTTTCAATAAACAACTACTTAACTTTTAGAAGACATCTGAAGGTAGTCCTGTATAGGGAAGTTTTTTAATGTTTGATGTCTTACTGTGTTTTAATTTGTTGGAAGCCCCCCAGAGTGGCTAGGAGAACCTAGTCAGATGGGTGGGAAATAAATAAATAAATAAATAAATAAATAAATAAATAAATATTAAGCATTTTTTTTTCATGCATAGGGTCTTTTCAAGCTCCTCTCTCCCCTTATGGTTTGTGTTGCTTTCACACATAAATGCTAGATAAGGGCTTAAAGGAAAAAAATAAAATAAAACATAAAACCTTTAAGAAGTACCTGCTTTCTTGACAACGAAACACATACACACCATGACACATTTTCAGTTGAAATAAAGCAAACATGGTGGGCAGAAGGTTTGAATTAAAAATAAAACATGGCAATTAGTTTAAGTGTTATTGTATTTTAGGTTGAAGACCTTTGATAAAAATTTGATTTAGAACATAAAAAAGGGGGGGGGGAGTAAAACCTTGCATAACTAGCTGATTGCTCTGATGACTAGTAGAGAACCAGATAATTATGCTACTACTTTAGAAAATAATAGTTTGAGAAAAAGCACACAAGCTTAATTCTCCATTTGTGTGTGGAGGGAGGACTTTTCAAGTTTATTGTACAACAGCAGGAATGAAAGAACAAAACAAAACCCATGACCCAGAAGTGCTCCTCTTGTTACATAGAAGAGTATAGTCCCTAATGGGAAATAGAGAAAGGGAAAACAAAATCACTATCCATAGCTTATGAGTCTCATTCGCTATCTCTAAAGCACAGAGAGGATGGTTTTAGGCCATTTTCTATTGGCATAATCAATCTTAGAGGGAGGGGAGGGAGTTTGACCTCAGGTCTAGGACCAGTGGAGTCCCTTTATGCCATAGTGACTTCAGATGGATTGACTGGCCATGCTTTCCACAAGGAGAAAGGAAATTAACACTTGACACGGATTTCTCAGCAGAGGAAAATGAAAGGAATGCAAGGAACCATTGAACATTTATCTTGTTTGGAAAGGTGCGGTTTCCCCGGAAAGCACAGAAACTCGTCGTCTTCTCACTAAATGAGGAAGAACAGCAGAGGTGGAAGACTCTAACAGATGCCAACAGACAGGCAGTTTTCCTCTGGTCTTAAAATGGAGGCTGCGTTGCAACATGGCTGAAAGACAAGCACCCAGTCCAGAAAGACAGCATAGTTATAAAACTGAGAGAACAAGCCCCTTTCCAGCCCAACCCATCTACCGCATGTTTGCTGGTGGCGTTTCCATTCAGAACGGAGTCTGATTCACTCTCCTTTCTTATTAATGAACCAAAGTCGTAGCATATGTCATGCAATGTGCAGAGTGGAGGCTGATTCAGCTAGAGGCCGCCTCCTCCACCGAGGAAGACAGGAGCCTTTGCCAAGCCCATTTCTCAAATGTACGCACTTCCACTTGAAAGAGCCTGCTCACTCAGCAGTACTCCAGCCAGGACGGAGAGTGCTTCTCCTCCATGGCATTCATTTAGACTGCAATTCATGAACAAGACATGAGCAGCCTCTTATTGATCAGCCTTTTCTAATGGACACTAAAAGCCCCAAACACCCCAAAACCTCTCACCATGAGTAATGATTCAGAATGTTTGGGAACAGAATATTGCCTATGTAAAAGCAGACGATGCAGTAATAATAATAAACAAATCTGTCAAAACATGATCCAAATGTAGCTCCACACCATCTGAAAAACTATTTCCAGCAATGTAGAGTAATGAAGTGTCTTATGGGTGAGAGACCTTTTCCTAAATGTAAAGAACTGAAGACAAACAAAGCTCTGAAAGACTGAATAAGACACCATCTAGTCTAGTATCTCATTTCCAGCAGCAGCTAACCAGGGGAGCCTAAAAGCAAAGAATGAAGGCAACTGAGCTCCCAGCAATTTATATTTAAAGGTACAGTGACTTTGAACTTGGGAGGAGCCATTTAATTGTATAATTTTTGAATAAATTTTAGTAGAGTTTATAAAGAGAGATACAAAACTTAATATCAGATTATTATTTTTTAAGCCAACATTAATCTAAATAAAATAAAATACACGGAGGAAAAGAAAAAGGAAAGGAGGAGAAAAAAGAAAAAAAGTGTGAGAAAGTGATTATAAGAGATAGAAAAGAACGTAACAGAGAAAATAGAAAGGATAAATTACAAAAATTAAAGAAGTTCCAATTCTTTTCATTTGTCCACTATATATAAACAATATTCACTTCATCCACTCCAAAATAACACCTAACAAAAACTCTTTCTATAAACCAACATTATCTTCAACCCCCAAATTCACATGTCATTGTTTCATTTTCATGCAAAAAGTCTATGAGAAGTTTCCAATCTTTAGTACCGGTAAATGTTAACAATGATATTTCTCTAATTAAACATGTCAATTTTAATTATCATGGCTAATACACTTGGATAGATCTTCTTCTTCCAAACTGGTGTAATCCTATTTAAGACAGTGGCTCTCATAACATCCTGTAGCAGTACATTTGATAAGGTGATTGCACATCCAAACACTTTTTTCTTAATCCATCAGGAAATGTTACAAGCCCATGGGGTCATTTGAGTTTATCTTTTCCTGTATTGTGCCATTTCCATGAAGTCACTTCCAGGTGCAGAGACTATACTGTGTATAGCAATCCAAACATCACAGATTTAAATTAAATCATTACAGTACTGATTGTTATCATATCAATTCTCTTTCTAATAATTCCTAGCATGGAATTTGCATTTCCCCCCACTGCGATTGACACTTACATTGAGCTATTCACCATAAGCCCATAGCCAGCATATATCTGTTTGTACCAACATAAATCACCTTACATTTAATGCTGAGCTTTATTGGGCATTTTCATGCCCATTTAGAAGTCCTTTTGGTGTTGTTCACAACACACCTGAGTAATTTGGTGTGATCTACAGATATAGCTACAACACTACTCACCTTTAACTTCACACCATTTATAAATAAGATAAAATTCACCAATCATGATACACATATTTAGAGCATCCCACTGTTTATTTCAAACCATTATCCATTTATTCTAACCCTCTGCCTCATTTTCATATGAAGGATCCATAAAATCTAATCCTATGAGCTTTATGTTTACTCCAGAACCTTTAGTGGAGTTTTGTCAAAATGTGTTTTTTTGAACATGCAAATGTATACTGTCCACTAGACCTTCTCTATCCACACATCTCAAAGAGGTTGGTGAGACATGATTTATTTTATTTTATTTCTTTGCTTGTCTTTATTGTTTTGCCAGAATTGTTGCTCGTTTTTGTCTTCCTCGATTGAACTAACTGTTTTAAATGCTTCATCCAAACTGCATAGTTACACACAGGAGACCAATATTACCTACTTTATATTAACAACGTGAAATAAAGGAAGACGGAAACTGTCAGGTTTCTTTAAGATATGAATCAGGACAAAATTACCAAGGTCACCTTCAGACTGTATTTTGTGGAAGTGATTCAAGAGCATCCTGTAAATTCAGGTTTGCACAATCAGTAGATTTGTTGCCTGAATGCAACAAATCCACTTCAAAAAGTATTTTTGTTGTTAGGAAAGTGCCTTGCAGAACAGAATGAAAGAGTGTGGGATGAACAAATGATTAACGGGAAAATGTATAAACATCACATAAGCACATCAGGAAGAACACTGGTTGTCATAAACCACTGAATTGGAACAAACAGTGTTTGGGTTTTCTACAGATTGCTGTTTATTCTGATTTGGCAGTAAATAGTGGGTTTTTCTTGAGGAAAACAGTGGGACAAAAACCAACCAAAAAGACTGGGAAAGTGTGGGCCTGTGCCTGGATAGTGTGGCACAAAAGGAACGTTTGGATGAACCTACAGTCTAACTTCCGCATAAGCATCGTGCAAGCAAATCAAAATGAATGCTCAATAAACACATGGTCTAGAAGAGCCCCGAGTGAATCCAAACCCATATATTAAATAAATTCAAGGCTACAGCACTCAAAAATAAGTCATTCACCCCCCAACTTCATTTGCTAAATGCAGAGCACAACAAACTACAGGCCAGTGACACATCATTTTGTAAGTCTTTTGTGTTTCTAGGTATACAGCAATAGTATTTTGCAAGAGAAACACTTTCTCAGAAGAACCCCTAGAATATTGCTTTAAGTTAACAAAAGCATCAAATCATTAATATGATTTAAAAATGCATGCAAAAATACATAGCCACACACATTATAGCACTACCCACATCATAGAATTCCCTCTTTTAATAGAATCATCTGAAATGAGTGTTGAGGGGGGATGCAAACCCCAGAACTCTTACCGTGTAAGACTGGAATCCATTGATAAAGGGAGGAAGTGTAACTCACAGCCAAGTCTCCCAGCTCCAGTGCTCACTTCACTAAAAGAAATTAAGACAATAAGTCAATAATGGTTAAAGTTGCCATTCTCATGTCCAGTTGCTTGACATGGGAATAAGATATTCTTAATGTGCATGTGCCACAAGAAAGTTATACTTTAGAGCCTCCTTTAACTGCATTTTGATTATGATCATCTATTTACACCACACGTGGGAAAAGGATCTAAAACACAATCAAAAACAAATTAAGAATTGGAGAACGTGAACTGGATTCTTGGAAGGTTAATATGGGTTTGAAATAAGCCTACATGCAGGGGGGACTTCTATAGATCTCACATCAGCAGGCAGTTTTTGTAGATGCACCACATATGCATTGGTGAATCTGGTCTTGCAGAATGGCACCAGTGGTGCACTCTGAACCATTCTCCCTTCCTGACTTTAGTACAGATGCAAATATCACAATCAAAGGGATGTTCTTCTCTCACACACCTAGCATCATGTGATGGGTGGAGCAGCTGCTTTGGTTACTGGCCCTGGTTCCACCATCTTGTCCCCTGCATATTCCTCTCGCAGAGCTACAACTCCAACAGTTCCCTGGGAACAGGGTCTGACTGTACAGTACTACACTGAACTGTAGTTTTGTGGGGGAAACAGGGGTTTCCCAAAATCTCTCAGTCCGTTAGCAAACTACACTTCTTCTTGGGGCTGGTCTTGCTTCAGCAGTGAGGAATAGCCCAGAGCGGTGGGCTCTGTTCATCCACCATGCCCTGCCATGGAAACACTGTATGCAAAGCCGCTTGGGGAGGCTGCATGAGAAGGACATAACAGCCAGGGCTGGTTCCAGGAGGGCAGCATGAACAGCACCTCCCACAATGCTCCAGGACAATCGCCCCGGCTGCACTCCCCCCAGGCTACACCACTGGGGAAGCTATGGCTTCTTGGAATGGTATACTGCTACTTTAAATGTATACTACAGATGGAACCCAAGTTTTAAGGAGGCAAAAAGAGAACTTTCTGTTTTATGCTTCTGCCAAACACCACACATATTGTAAAGTTAAAGGACCCCTGGACAGGTAAGTCCAGTCAAAGGCGACTATGGGGTTGTGGCACTCATCCTGCTTTCAGGCCGAGGGAACCAGAGTTTGTCCACAGACAGCTTCCTGGCCATGTGGCCAGCATGACTAAACAGCTTCTGACACAACAGTACACTGTGACGGAAACCAGAGCGCATGGAAACACCGTTTGTTTTCCTGCCACAGCGGTACCTATTTATCTACTTGCATTGGTGTGCTTTCAAACTGCTAGGTTGGCAGGAGCTAGGGCAGAGCAACGGGAGCTCACCCCGTTGCGGGGATTCGAACCGCCGACCTTCTGACTGGCAAGCCCGAGAGGCTGAGGGGTTTAGACCACAGTGCCACCTCCTTCCCTGGTAGAACCACACATAAAATATTACTGACCCTTTTAAAGTCTTCTCTCCAATAGCCCTTTAAGGATGCCTACAGAGCACTAGGAAGGTGGGAAGTTGGATAAATGAAAATAAATAAATAAATATATACATATAAAATAAAATAAAAGTTAAGCAGGACTGTTTGTCTGTGATCAGATAGCTAAAGCAGTTGTTCTACCCAGTGGCAAAGCTTCTAAAGTGACAACATCTGATGGGGATGTTTTCCACATCCCCGAACGACCTCGGAAAAACAAACCCAACTATTCAGTGTGTGCTAAGCTGCCCTATTAAGGCTAGAGGTTATTTCTGTCTTGTCACATGCAGATTTTGAATGGAATGGTCACCTACACCCTTTAACTAGATGTGCAGCCTTTGTGACTTTGTCGTTTGATGAGGTCTCAAGAAATGTGCTCGGAGAAACAACCTCTCCTTTGCCTACCAAGCTGTCAGAACAAACTGTTCCAAGGCCTTCCGAAAAAGATGGTGTGCACATGATCCTTGCTCCTAGTTAGTGCAGAAGGTCAAGAGAAATATAACAACCCTGAGACATGTATCTGGGGAAACCGGGAAACCATATCTAACTTAAAACTTGCACTGAAGACATCCTAGTTACCATTAAGATTGCAAATGCACAGCCAGATACAGTAATAACATTGCCCCAATGTTTAATGCTGCTCATCTAGGGTAGTAGAATGACACAACCACAGATTTATACAGTATTTATTATTCCATAAACCAGTGATCACCTAATTCACCCCATGAAAGGAAATCCATAATAGGAGTAAGATGTTTTATAGGCAAATGAGCAGCCAGGAAAATGTGGGGGGTTATGTGCCAGAGAGGGACGCTGGTGGCACTGTGGGTTAAACCACAGAGCCTAGGACTTGCCGATCAGAAGGTCAGCGGTTCGAATCCCAGCGACGGGGTGAGCTCCTGTTGCTCGGTCCCTGCTCCTGCCAACCTAGCAGTTCGAAAGCATGTCAAAGTGCAAGTAGATAAATAGGTACTGTTCCGGCGGGATGGTAAACACTGTTTCCGTGCGCTGCTCTGGTTCGCCAGAAGCGGCTTAGTCATGCTGGCCACATGACCCGGAAGCTGTATGCTGGTTCCCTCGGCCAATAAAGCGAGATGAGCGCCGCAACCCCAGAGTCGGCCACGACTGGACCTAATGGTCAGGGGTCCCTTTACCTTTACCTTATGTGCCAGAGAACCTTGATAGGTAGAGGTCCTCTTGGATGTACACACTTCATGCCTGTAGCCTATCAACCCTCTGTTTACTGTGAGGAAACCTTGAAATAACACTACTATACTCACAGCAAACTTGTGGTTTGCTTGCTGTTCAGTTACCAAGTGCTAGACATGCATTGGTGAACTTGCTCTACCTAGCAAAGATTTCCAGTTAATCTTCAACATATGCATGCTGAGGATTACAACCCAAGTAGCAGAGCACTTGTCATAGAGAATTTAATGACACAATGCCCTGGCTGGCACATAATGCTAAACAGTGATGTGGTGTGGGGGCACAGGGGCAGTTGTCCTGGACACAAAATTGTTGGGGGACAAAAATTCAACACCTGGTTCTGCCTCAATACAGCTGCACACTTCCATTTCTGGGCTCCATTGCAAACGGCTTCTCCATGAAACCAGGAAGTGACCTCTCCAGACAACGGAACGGCTCTTCGTTTCTTATCTCTGAGGCTGTGATCTCCTAGGTGTCATGGACACCATTAGGCAGTTGAATGTTCCTGCGTGCATTGTCTGTTTTCCTCCCTCCCACCTACCCAAGCACAGCCGTGGGCACTGGCAACCCATGCTACACCACTGATGCTAAAGTATGATTTATTAAACCTTGATGTGCCATTATGTGTGAGCCCTGTCTAGCAGCTAAATTATGTTTTGTTTACTGCCCAAAAGTTATAATCTGGAGCCATGGTTCATCACTGGCTCTATAAATCTGGCTTTGTTTAAACTATGGCACAGCATTATGTGCAAACACAGCACCTTTCCTTAGGAATTAGGAATAATGGAGTCAGGCAAAGTACTTGGGCGGAGGAAGAGTTCTCAATCCCTCAACTGTAGACTTCTAAGTTGCTCCAAGTGTGAGTAAAAATATTTATTTACCGTAGGATGAATAACTTTTCTACCAAAAGGCTTTACATTTTTGAGGCTTTTAAGACTATAAGGTTAGATAGACTACATCAGTTTTTTTAACAGATAGTGGAATGCCAAGTTTCACAAGAATTCTAGGAGAAATAAGCCCTTTGAAGCATGCCCTATTAATATAAAATATTGTTCAGAAAGGAACATGTGAAGTTTCTCCCCTATGCCCAAAGCCAAACTTCAAGCTTCTCTGTACTGACACACCACATCACTAATCCCTTCCACCCCTGCATTTTCATAGATTTTCTGATCAGGTAATAAATAGAGAGATGCAGCTTATGCTCAGCATTCAGAAAGTTAGCTGTGTTTGTGGCACAGAAAGCCCATTTCATTTTGGAAAGAGAGTGAAGAAATGCTTAGGGTGTTGAACTAGAAGTAGGGAGACCGCAGCTTCAAAACACTGCTAAGCCAGTCACCATTTTTCTGCCTAATCTACCCCACAGAGTTGTTATGGGGTAAAACTGGGGGAGGTGAAGAAAACTAGAGAAGGGGTGGGGAGCTCCAGCCTGCAGGTTTAATCTGACCCTCGGGAAGCACTTCTCAAAGAGGACAACTGATCATCAGTCCTTTGGGAAGTGCTGTGCAAGAGAATTCGACAAGTGTCAATCATATGACATCATTCGGATGTCAGGTGGTTGATCAGTAGGTTGTCCACCCCACCTGTGAAAGCTGGCTCATGGGTGTGTTTGGGGTGTGTGGGGAGAGACAAGGATCTAGCTCAGTGGGCCAAAAATGGTTACCCACCCCTGCCTTAGAGGAAAGGAGATCAGTGCAAGAAAAACATCAACATTTCTTTGCTCATGTTTTATATTGAAATGCCAAAATTGCAACCCTACCCCCCCAAAAAAAACCTAACATGAAAAAGGGGACACTTAAGCTAAACATCAGTGCTTGACAGCTTCACACTTTACCACCCCTGCTACATATTGCTGAATACTCTTCTCTGCCTTCTGTACATTTAATTCATTTACTCTTCAATAAGCTGCCCTGCGCTGTCTTTTAAGGAAAGTACTGTAAATTGAATAAATACAGAGGTGCTTTTATACATTTACTGGCACGCACTCACCATGTCTCATTTCAGAAGCTCCACTAGTAATAGAAGAGAGAATCTAAAACTAACATCCTTATTCTTCTTTCGTCAAGAAAAACCCACAAGGAAGCTGAACAGAGCAACTTCTGTTAACATTCTGGTATGTGTCTGTAATAAAAAATTAAGCCCACTCTGCATCCCAGCCTCTTGCTCCTCCATCTCTCAGGACTGTCAACTGCACAGAACAAAGGAAGCAAGTCGGAGGCTATGTGTCCATATCTTTACTAGAAAACTGTGTCAGCTACCACTGCAGGTCTTTGTACATCTACAAACAACTGCCAACGTGACTGTATCCTTTGCGTTCCCTTCAGCTTCAGTATAACCTGATGAAAGGGGGGAAATGCCGCTGGTGTTTTTGCTCTTTTTTGCTCTACTGTTATATACCCAAGCCTCACCTGTCATCTTTCAGAATCTTGTCCATGACCCGAAAGCATGAACCAGGACCTCATGGCCTGAAGCCAGGAGCTGTCCTCAGAGTCTTGAGATTCAGAGTCTGCTTCAGATACAGTTAATGGCTCTGTGACTGGCAGACAGTAAGAAGCATCAGGACTGGTCCTGTTTGTAATAAATACTGTCCTAGAAGCCTGTCCTTTTGCCCCTTGCTTTGTCAACAAGGCAATACCTTCTGCCTGCTGTATTTCAGACCTTTGGCCTTACTGCGACTTCCAGTAATTGACATCAGGCTTTGCAAACAGACATTCCAGGCCCAGATTTGGATGCAGTCACCCACAGCTCCAACCCAATAAATGCTTATTGCTTAAGTGATGGTGGGCAATTTGAATAGTACAGACTTCAGGACACTCCAAGGCAGGGGTAGCCAGTGCCTTGGTATAGCTCCATCCTTATTTCAGACACTGTGATATATCACAATGTTTAGCTGGTGATATATCACAATGTTGAAAACCAGATATCACTCAGCCCTATTCCCTACCCCTGATACAATATATTCTTCTTCTTTTTTAGTTATATTTTTCTTTTTTTGTATTGGTAGTGGTTTGTTTGTAATTTTTTTTGTGTTTTGGTGTTTTAAGGTGAATGGATGTATTGTTTATAAACCAATAAAGACTGAAATGGGAAAAAATACAATATATTAATTCTATCCCCCCCCCAAATATCTGCCAATGTTCAATGACTTCACAATTCTTCTATCTAGGGAACATGCTACAAGCTTCTGAATTAGCTGCGGCTGATATGACAACCTTTTCGGGTTCAGTTACCACTACAAATTGCAATTTCTGTTAAAGCTGAGCCTGACATTCAGTGTTACTTCAGCTGCAGGGTAATTAATAAAAAGGAAACATCACTTGACAGAAAATACCAGTTACCAACGGAATTATATAACATTATGGCCTACTAAACTTTTACGATCCTCCCTTTCATAATCTCGACTCATTAAGTACACAAATGGGATTTGTTATGACAAAAAGGTAAAGAGGGGAAGGTAGGGGAGGGATTGCTTCATTCAAAGAGCACTTAGTTTCCATCACAGCCACAACGAATCAACCAAAAGCCAGAGAGAATTAAACACAAGCATCGCCTCTCCTGAGCAGGCACTTAAGAGCTGGGGCTCAGAGGTAGGTCATTTGCCTTAACAACCAATGGTCCCATGTTCAGTTCTTGGTGTCTCCAGGTAGGTCTGGGGGGGGGTCCCCCCTCTCCTTGACCCTGGAGAGTTGCTGTCAATTGATATAAGAGGAGTTTGGGGGTCGGGAAATGGTTTTATAAGTTGCGTCTATCTTTGTTTCTCAATTTGATCCTTTTATGTGGTTTTGTATGTACTGTTGTATTTTATGCATTGTGACTGGCAGCTATTTTTATTGATCACAGTCTAGTAATTATTTCTTACCTTTGCTCTGAGTGAATTTCTGTTTCATTATTATTTGCTGACATTTTGAGAGTTCATTTTATTGTGCCGGCCAAGGCCTGTGCCTTCCTGCTCCTGTATGGGAGCCTTGGCTGTGGGTTCGGCAGCAGCCCTGGGGCAGGAGAGAGCCAAGGGGGCTGCCTGGCACATCTGTGTCATGAGAAGCATGTGACACACCACCCTGAGGTACCAAAGGGGGCAGGCAGCAAGAAGGGGCTCTGCCCCACAAGGGGAGGGTCTGACCCGCTCTCTGCTTTCCACTCACAGCCCACTCGGCTGCCCAGAAGACACACATGCTATTTGAGAAAAGGATGCCATTTCCCTTCCAGTCTCTCAGCAACTTCAGGACCACTGCAGCCCAGTTGCATCCTTCAGAATTTGTTCCTGGGGCAATGGCCCCTGCTCCCCTCCCCAATGCTATGCCTCTGGCTCTGCCTCTGAGCTATGGGCCTCCCCCTGCTTGAACACTAGTTAGTACCATACAAATGTTAAGTACTATTATTAGCATTGAAAAAAATAATGTAATGTAAGTACAGTAATGTAAGTAATGTAAGTACCATCTATTTAGTAGTAGCACTTGTTCTGGAATTTCCAGTAATAGGTTCTTTGCATCCGCCTCTAGTATCTGGTAACCTTAATAAACTTGCCTGCTCGTGAAGAAAATAAAAAGGTATGTTTAAAAAACAACAACAAACCAATATGCAGTAGTTCAGTTACTTTAAGAAGTGAAGGTAATCAAATATGTGAACAATCTCATTTTTGATATATTTGAAATACAGACAGTGCTTTTTTTCTATAAAAAATGTTTAGGGGTACTCTCATTTTCCTACTCATATTGAAATACTGCCCCTCAATGAGGCCAAACTTAAGATTCACAAAATGGTTAGGGTTATGCGTCCCCTTGCATCCCCCCAGAAAATAAGCACTGAATACACGGAACAAATAACATAGATTCCAAACCATGTATATTTTCTGTTCCTTTTCAAGAGACAACCGAGGTTCTCACCTGCTTACTGGATTAGTGGCTTGACTACCTTATTTTTCATTGTGCACAGGTACAAAGAAAACAAAACAAAACCCACTATTTCAGGGTTGGGGAACCTCACGGCCAAGGGTCTTAAGACTCTCTATCTGGCCCTTTAAACTCTTCCCAGGCTACTCAGTGTCTCCAGCAGGCTCTTGTGTTCCTAGGGGAGTCCAGAGGGCCAGAAACAGGTTCCTGGCAAGCCACATTGTTAAATATAATGGTTTAATTCACACAGAAATGAAAAATGTGTATGTATTAATGAAGGTTTAAAATGAAAAACTTGCTAAATATATATTGCTAACACTGGGTTTCCCCCCTGACCATTAGGTCCAGTCGTGACCGACTCTGGGGTTGCGGCACACATCTCGCTTTATTGGCCGAGGGAGCCGGCGTACAGCTTCCAGGTCATGTGGCCAGCATGACTAAGCCGCTTCTGGTGAACCAGAGCAGTGCACAGAAACGCTGTTTACCACTGGAGCGATACCTATTTATCTACTTGCACTTTGACGTGCTTTCGAACTGCTAGGTTGGCAGGAGCAGGGACCGAGGAATGGGAGCTCACCCCGTTGTGGGGATTCGAACCGTCGACCTTCTGATTGGCAAGTCCTAGGCTCTGTGGTTTAACCCACAGTGCCACCCACGTCCCCATTTATGTATTAATGAATGTTTAAAATGAAAAACTTCCTAAATGTATATTGCTAACACTGGATTTCCCCCCACAGGGTTCTAAACCTGAGATCATGCAAGAGGTATTGGGTTGCAACCTCCATTTTGAAAGGAGTTGCTTTGAGTCTTTCCTCCCAAAGTCAATGGAGTGAAGATGTAAAGTGAGACCTCTCTCTGAATGCCACAGGGAAAACAATGCAACGAAAGGGCTTTCCTGAAGGAAGAGCAAACAGCCTGGAAGCTTTAAAGCAGGCTGGAGAGCGAGCAAGAGCGAGAGACCTTTGCTTATAGGTCTGTTTGGGTTATTCCATATTTTGTAAGATGCTGAGCCTGTGCTGGACAGCACAAGCTATTGTATAGACATTTTTTGATGTCTTGATTCTGTTATGAAAAAAGTGCTGCCAGTAAAAGCTTGCATAATATTTCCATGGGCCTGGATGATGATGATGATGATGATGACGACAACAACAACAACAACAACAACAACAATTTATTATTTATACCCCGCCCATCTGGCTGGGTTTCCCCAGCCACTCTGGGCGGCTTCCAACAAAACACTAAAATACAATAACCTATTAAACATTAAAAGCTTCCCTAAACAGGGCTGCCTTCAGATGTCTTCTAAAAGTTTGGTAGTTATTTTTCTCTTTGACATCTGATGGGAGGGTGATCCACAGGGCAGGTGCCACTACCAAGAAGGCCCTCTGCCTGGCTCCCTGTAACTTGGACAATGCTTCATTTCCAAAGGAGTCGGTTCTTATGCTTCCAGTCGCTTCGAACTGCACAATATTTAATATCTGCAACACTCATTGTGCACCAGAAACTAGTCTAGTCTTCCTTTCAGTGCCCCTTCCCCAAATTCTGGTGGACGTCCATGCACCCAACTGTGAAGCTCACTGGGTGACCCTGAGCTAGCCACAGTCTCTTAGTCTAACCTGCCTCACAGGGATGTTGTGAGGATGAAATGGGGAGGAGGAGAACCGTGTTCTTTGCAGGACAGGTGAGATACAAAGGTAATAACCAGCAATAACATTCTAACATCTCCCTTTCCACCATCCTGAATCCCATCTAATCCTCTGGCCCTGAATGTAGCTTTTCTTACAGAAGACCTTTGAAATATTAGAGCAATGTGATGTGATTGGAGCTTCATAAAGCTGCACAGAGCATTTAATGGCACATATAGGAGGTGTTAAAATGTCAAGTTGATTGTGCTGACGTGGCCATCTGCACAATAATGATATTCAGGTGTATTATTTATACTTGGCTGCATACTGAGCTACTACCAAAGTGCTATCAAATTCCATTTTTTATGTAAGTGAACAATTGCCGAGGAAACCTAGCCACATCTGACTTTGAGAGAGGAAAGTTCTGAAAAATAACAATAATGCTAAATGAGGTTGATAAAAAGGAAGCTGAAAGGGAAAGTCAAAGGGATCAAACCTCTTCAGAACACTTGGGGGTTACTCAGTGCAAAACTCAGCTAGCACGCCCACCGCAGACCAGGAAAGTTACCAAGTCCAGGAGGACGCCAGTGTGGTTAATAAGCAGAGACAAAGATGCTGTTAAGGGCAAGAAACTTCCTTCAGAAAATGCAAGCCTTGCCCTAATGAGTTTTTGATAAAAGCAGACAATAAGGGATTGTTTGTTTTAAAAGGGAAAGGGAGAATTTGAGGGACTTATAGCTAAAAGGAGAATTTGAGGGACTTATAGCTAAAAACATTAAAACTAGCATTATTTATTTATTTATTTATTAAATGGTAGAATCCTAGAGTTGGACCACGAGGGTCATCTAGTCCAACCCCCAGCAATGCAGGATTCTTATGCCCAGCATGGGACTTGAACCCACAACACTGAGATTAAGAGTCTCACGCTTTACTGACTGAGCTATACTAGCTGACTCAGAAGCAAGAAACTGACTAGGGAGATGATCATGATAATGATGATGATGATTTATACCCCGCCCATCCGGCTGGGTTTCCCCAGCCATTCTGGGAGGCTTACAGCAGATGGAACTATTGGAAGTTAAAGCTTCAGTAAAGGCGCATAAGGACGTTGCAGAGAAGCTGAATGGATTATCTGTGTCCGTCTTCACTGCAGAAGACACAGGGCTGACACACATGCCTAAACTGACTTTCTCAGGCAGAGGTCTGAAGAACTATGGCAATACCGTGCTGACAAAGGAACAGATTTCTAGGCCTGCTGTTGGACTTCAGCTCCAAATTCCTATCCAGGGCAGGGGAGTCAACTATAGGCGGCTCTGGGGGCTCAGCATCCACACTGCAGGGCCCCCGACACAACTTCCAGAGCCTCATGAAGCACCGGAAGTCACTTCTGAGGGCTCGTGAGACCTCAGAGATGCTTTCCGAGGTCTCGCAATGTCTCAGAACCTGAATTCCAGTGGCGCCGGAAGTCAGGTTTTGAGGCCAGAGGTGATGTCTTGATGGTGACACACTGGCCACCCATAACCTGGGGCCCAAGTTGGCTCCCCTTCTCCAGGGCCTGATGAGCCATATCAAACGAGCTTGTGAATGCAACCTCAGAGCCTCTGTTTGTAATGTTTGATAATTCTTGGAGAGCAGGCAATGTCCCTGCAGACTAGAGGTGGGGAAATATTGTCCTTACTTTCAAAAGGGGTAAGAAGAAGACGACCCAGATAACTACTGATGTTGGTACCAGGAAAGGTCCTAAAAGAGATAATTAAATGATTGGTTGGGTGTCCCTTCCAATGATACAGTTCTATTTTTCTTAAAGAAACCACGATCCAGCAAAAAAAATGATACTCTTTTCATGTATATTCTTCAGATGAGCAGCAATAGATGTACAGTGGTACCTCAGGTTACAGACGCTTCAGGTAACAGATGCTTCAGGTTACAGACTCCGCTAACCCAGAAATAGTACCATGGTTAAGAATTTTGCTTCAGGATGAGGCTCCATTAGCTAAAGTGGTACCTCAGGTTAAGAACAATTTCAGGTTAAGAACGGACCTCCAGAACGAATTAAGTTTTTAATCCGAGGTACCACTGTATATTTCTCCCCTACTTTGGTTATTGCCAGGGCTACTTTACTTTACAGGCAAGATTTTTGGGGCTAAGATTAAAAACAAAAACTTATCTCAAACCCTTAAATAACTTGTAGCTGTGGCAGCCAGCAAAGTGAATAAAAAATCTGTCTTAAACTTCTGGTACTTCATTTCATATATCCCCCCCCCCCAAAGCACAGGAGAAACTATCTGGGCATAAGAAATGGAAGGGGAAGATAGGCTTAAACCAATCTTTGTTTGATACTGATGGTATGAAGTGGAGAACCCGTTCTAAAGTGTTGTGTGACATCTATACCCCATTATATGCAATTTTTGATTTAACTCAGAATTGACTTATAGTGGGTGAACAGTCTATCCAATAAGTGAATGTCATCGGTAGCCTTTCTCAAGCGGGCACCCAGCAAATTGGCAACATTTTCTACTCAAAAGATATTTTCTGGGATTTCAAGATGCTGTGATTGAATTCTAGCACACTTTCAATTTTACTGATAAATGCCTCAAAAATGTCAACTCACATGAACCTATCCCCGCTAAAAAACACTCGGGAGTGATAGCTTTCTCTCTTCAGTCCTCCCCTCCCCCAAATCACCACTGCTAAACACAATTTATAACTCTAGAGAACACAACAAAACCATTTAGGGCATTATTCAAGAAGATAAACAGAAGGTATCCACACAAACCGGATTCATTTTCTTGTGAAGTTATCGCTTTATTTGTGAACTATTCCTTATGAAATTAGGAAATCCACTGAGACCCTGTGAGACCTTTGAGGCAATAGTTGTCTCATGCAATGTGTGGACAGATGGTTTTCATTTGCTGTGGGAGGAGGCAGGTGACTTCCGTCAAGGAAATACTTGTATTGTAAACAGGTTGTATTTCCCTATGACTTGAAGATGACAATATTTTCATACGGATGAAATGATATGCATGCACCCATTGCTATTAATTATTATAATTGTAACACCATAAATCCACCAAACAATCCTAGGAAGCCAAAGTAAGTTCAGCTGCTTAATTTATTAATTTTAGCACACTTACTATATCCCACTTTTTCCCTCAAGGAGCTCAAGGTGGCATACATGGTTCTCCTCCTGCAATCCCCACAACAACCTTGTGAAGTAGGCTAGGCTGAGAGGCAGCGACTTGCCCAAGGTCATCCCACAAGCTTCATGGCCAAGTGTGGATGTGAACCCTGGTCTCACTGGCTGTTCCCAAATTAACTGTGTATAGGATTGCAACAATATTGTGTTAAAGAGCTTCTCTAGCAAGGAAGCAGGTCCCTGCCTCCAACAAGTTCACAATCTAAACTCTAAGAAATGCAACAAAAGCAGGAGGAGAAAGGATGGAAAGGGTATAAAGGAGTTAATTAAACAAATACAGTTAATCTGGTTTGGCTATACAAAGGAGTGGTCATTGAGGGGTGAAGCCAATGGATTAATGGAAAGCATGCTTTGAAAGAGATCTGAACGAAAAGAGAAGCACCATGTCATATTGTTAAACTGCTCTGGAAATTATAGCTCTGGGAAGAAGAAGAAGTAGAGTTTGGATTTGATATCCCACTTTATCACTACCCGAAGGAGTCTCAAAGCAGCTAACATTCTCCTTTCCCTTCCTCCCCCACAACAAACACTTTGTGAGGTGAGTGGAGCTGAGAGACTTCAAAGAAGTGTGACTAGCCCAAGGCCACCCAGCAGCTGCATGTGGAGGAGCGGAGATGCGAACCCGGTTCACCAGATTACAAGTCTACCGCTCTTAACCACTACATCACAGTGGGAGAAGAACAGGAATCTCCTAACAACTCTCAGCACCCTTAACAAACTACAGATCCCAGAATTCCTTGGGGGAAGCCATCGCAGTTTAAAGTCGCATCATAGTGCTTTGTATGTACGGCGTGAGCATGTTCATAATTGTATCTTGCCCATCTTCTGCACAGTGTAAGAGGGAAAAGTCTATGTCATCCAGGTCCCTACTGATGCAATGACTTCCTACGCCCCCAATTCCTGGACCCCAAACCTGGGAAGTAACTCCATGATTGTGCTTGCACCGTATGGCACCTGTTTTCTTAGTGTGCTTGTCAGGGACTGGCTGGACAGAGGAGGGGTGGCTGGATTCTGAGGAGCGGGCACTGGGAGAACAGGGGTTGGAGGCTGACTTGGAACAAGGGATCAGTGACCCGGGGGAACCTGTAGCAGCCCGGAAATCAGAGTCTGAGGCAGGAGAAGCTTCAGGATTGGAGAGTGGAGAACAGGGGCAGGAAGGAGGGAGAGACAGGTCAGGCTGGTGTAGAGTCAAAGGCTTCCACACCTTCTCCTCCTGGCCCCACCTCTCCTGCTCCACTGTCTCCCAAGCAGTGGCAGAGCATATGCCCGTGCTGCCCAGGGTGGGCGCGCTCCCGAGGTGCCCAGAGTGGCGCACACGTCCTGCAGCCAGGGGCGGAGCGAGCTGCCCACGGGGGCGGAGCGAGCCACCCATGACAGACATTCAGTGCACAGCCCACCTGTGACTCCCAAGCCTCCCCCAAGCTGTCAAAACGAAGGGGGAAGGGGGGAATGCCGCCAGCAAAGCGGCTCAGCTTCCCCCCTTACCCAGACGGCTCAGAGTAGGCTTGGGAGTCACGGGCGGGCGGTGTGCTGAATGTCACCTTCCTCAGTGAAGGCACCTGGGGCAGTCCGCCCCCACCGCCCCCCTTCCTATGCCCCTGCTCCCAAGACCAGAGGAGGGCTTAAAAAGGAGGAGCAGAAACAAGTTACACGCAGGCAGAGTCCTCACCTGTATACCTGAAGGAGCGTCTCCATCCCCATGGTCCAGCCCGGACACTGAGGTCCAGCACCAAGGGCCTTCTGGCAGTTCCCTCACTGCGAGAAGTGAGGTTACAGGGAACCAGGCAGAGGGCCTTCTCGGTAGTGGCGCCTGCCCTGTGGAACGCCCTCCAAGCACATGTCAAGGCAATAAACAACTATTTTACTTTTAAAAGGCAACTGAAGTTTAGGAAAGTTTTTAATGTTTGATGCTGTATTGTTTTTAATATTCGGTTGGAAGCTGCCCAGAGTGGCTGGGGAAAGCCAGCCAGATAGGCGGGGTATAAATACATTAAAAATTATTATTATTATTATTATTATTATTCACGTGCTTGTGCACAGCTCTGGTGAGGAAGATAATAAGCAGAGGTTGGAGGCGGGGCCTCTCTGTTGCAACAACTGCCTCATTGGGTGCACATCTAGGAGTAGCTGAGATATGTGGGACTGATGGGCATGTCATCACCTAATTTGTAGGTGTACTTTTGATGATAAAGAGTTAATTCCTCCCTCTGGACATTCCTTGCTTGACAGCTCAATGACAAGTACTGGAGCAGCATGGGATGGGGCCACATGGATGCCACTCTGCACTGGCAACATATGAGTGGCTCCTGACTTTGGCATGAAATATATGTAACAAAATTAAAACGGAGCTGCTGGTTTTCTGAGAAGAAGGGCAGCCATGCTAGAAAGCTCTCCTGTCACGTATTCCCTTCTTGCACTCCAATGTCAGGCAGAAAACTCACACCTATTGTGAGGTGGCTTCTTTTCAATTTCCAGACCAGCAAGATGGCTGAGTCCCCTGGGCAGCAAAATGGGTAATGCTAAAAATAGCAAACAATACCACTGCCTGCCTCCCACGAAAAGCCGGGCAAAAGTTCCTTAGAATTCTGCATAGCAACTGCAAAACCAGGCACCACAGCAGCTTAACCCTGATTGACCTGGACTAGAAATTTACATTACTAATTCTCACCACCCTGGGTGCCTTGTAGAAAGGCATTATATAAATGCAATTAAATAAATAAAGGGGCTTGAGGACCCTTTAACTAACGGCAAACA